ATGCTGTGGTAGCCATACTGGTTAAGTGTGCCTTGAATTCTAAATCAATCACAGACAGTGTCACCAGCAAAGCATCCCCAAACCATAACACCCCCTCCTCCATGCTTTACGGTGGGAAATACACATGTGGAGATCATCCATTCACCCACACCGCGTCTCACAAAGACACAGCGGTTGGAACCAAAAATCTCAAATTTGGACTCCAGACCAAAGGAAAAAATTCCACCGGTCTAATGTCCATTGCTCGTGTTTCTTGGCCCAAGCAAGCGTCATCTTCTTATTGGTGTCCTTTAGTAGTGGTTTCTTTGCAGCAATTCGAACATGAAGGCCTGATTCACACAGTCTCTTCTGAACAGTTAATGTTGAGATGTGTCTGTTACTTGAACTCTGTGAAGCATTTATTTGGACTGCAATTTCTGAGGCTGGTAAATCTAATGAACTTATCCTCTGCAGCAGAGGTAACTCTGGGTCTTCCTTTCCTGTGGCGGTCCTCATGAGAGCCAGTTTCATCACAGCGCTTGATGGTTTTTGCGACTGCACTTGATAGAAACTTTCAAAGTTCTTGACATTTTACGTATTGACTGACCTTCATGGATTATTATTAAAGTAATGATGGACTGTTGTTTCTCTTTGCTTATTTGAGCTGTTATTGCCAGAATATGGACTAAAAAAATATAAGTAATAAGAATATATTCAGGGCCTTCGGAAAGTATTCAGACCCCTTGACCTTTTCCAAATTTTGTTACGTTACAGCCTTATTCTAAAATTGATTAAATACATACAAATGTCAGCAATCTACACACAATACCCCATAATGACAAAGCGAAAACAGGTTTTCGAAATTTTTGCAAATGTATAAAAAAATGTAACAGAAATATCTTGTATACATAAGTATTCAGACCCTTTTCTATGAGAATCGAAATTGAGCTCAGGTGCATCCTGTTTCCATTGATCATCCTTGAGATGTTTCTACAACTTGATTGGAGTCCACCTGTGGTAAATTCAATTGATTGGACATGATTTGGAAAGGCACACACCTGTCCTTGAGATGTTTCTACAACTTGATTGGAGTCCACCTGTGGTAAATTCAATTGATTGGACATGATTTGGAAAGGCACACACCTGTCTATATAAGGTCCCACAGTTGACAGTGCATGTCAGAGCAAAAACCAAGCCATGAGGTCGAAGGAATTGTCCGTAGAGCTCCGAGACAGGATTGTGTCAAGGCACAGATCTGGGGAAGGGTACCAAAAAATGTCTGCAGCATTGAAGGTCCCCAAGAACACAGTGGCATCCATCATTCTTAAATGGAAGAAGTTTGGAACCACCAAGACTCTTTCTAAAGCTGGCCACCCGGCCAAACTGAGCATTCGGGGGAGAAGGGCCTTGGTCAGGGTGGTGACCAAAAACCTGATGGTCACTCTGACAGAGCTCTAGAGTTCCTCTGTGGAGATGGGAGAACCTTCCAGCAGGACAATCATCTCTGCAGCACTCCACCAATCATGGTAGAGCGGCCAGACGGAAGCCACTCCTCAGTAAAAGGCATATGACAGCCCGCTTGGAGTTTCCAAAAGGTACCTAAAGACTCTCAGACCATGAGAAACAAGATCCTCTAGTCTGATAAAACCAGGATTGAACTTTTTGGCCTGAATGCCAAGCGTCACATCTGGAGGAAACCTGGCACCATCCCTACGGTGAAGCATGGTGGTGGCAGCATCATGCCACAGGGATGTTTTTCAGTGGCAGGGACTGGGAGACTAGTCATGATCGAGGAAAATATGAACAGAGCAAAGTACAGAGAGATCCTTGATGAAAACCTGCTCCAGAGCTCTCAGGACCTCAGACTGGGGCGATGGTTCACCTTCCAACAGGACAACAACCCTAAGCACACAGCCAAGACAACACAGGAGTGGCTTCGGAATAAGTCTCTGAATGTCCTTGAGTGGCCCAGCCAGAGTCCGGACTTGAACCCGATCGAACGCATCTCTGGAAAGACCTGAAAATCGCTGGTCTCTATTTTCAGAGCTTGAGAGGATCTGCAGAGAAGAACGGGAGAAACTCCCCAAATACAGGTGTGCCAAGCTTGTAGCGTCATACCCAAGAAGACTCGCTGCTGTAATCGCTGCCAAAGGTGCTTCAACAAAGTACTGAGTAAAAGGTCTGAATACTTATGTACATTTGATAGTTTTTAATTTGTAATACATTTGCTAAAATTTCTAAACCTGTTTTTGCTTTGTCATTATGGGGTAGTGTGTGTAGATTGATGAGGATTTATTTTTGTTAATGCATTTTAGAATAAGGCTGTAACCTAACAACATTTGGAAAAAGTGAAGGGGTCTGAATACTTTCCGAAGGCACTGTATGTTTTTTTTGTGTCCCCCCCACTTCTACAACCAAAGTTGCGACCTTGGTCCCCAGCACAAGGTGCACCTGTGTAATGATCATGCTGTTTAATCAGCTTCTTGATATGCCACACGTGTCAGGTGGATGAATTATCTTGTCAAAGGAGAAATGCTCACTAACAGCTATAAACAAATTTGTGCACAAAATGAGAGTAATAAGCATTTGGAAAATTACTGGGACTCTTTATTTCAGCTCATGAAACATGGGACCAACACTTTACGTGTTGCGTTTATATTTTTGTTCAGTGTATCTGTTGATAAGCAACTGCTTGCTATGGTTAAGGCTAGGTTTAAAATAAGGGTTAAGTTTAGGGTTAGTAGATAATTAGTTTAAATGTTACTGGACTATCCAAATAAAGTGTTATCCAACTTTCGGACTGGGTCATAGCCATCCTCATGTACTTTGTGCCCCCTCAGATTTTTTGGGTGCCTGAACATCAGTGTCAGATTTGAAAGACTCTTGTCACAGTAAATACCAAAGACTCACTTATTCGCATAAGATGGTTTGGCAAGCATGAACTATAGTATGTATGGCTTAAAATCTGTGAACCAAAGTCTAGGTCAAAAAAGTGGGTCAGAGGCTTTTATATTTTCATGCTAGTCTCATAGCAAAGGATCTGAATACTTATGTAGAATAAGGCTGTAATGTAACAAAATGTTGAACAAGTCAAGGGGTCTGAATACTTTCCGAATGCACTGTACGGTAAATCCCAAACCACCCCCTCACCCCACCAACTCGCTCGGAGGGCCCTCCGTTGTCACATGTTGCTGACGAAACTGAGGGTGACTTCCAGAGTGGCGAGGGGATCAATAAACCCATCAACTTCGGGACACACTCCTGACTTGAGTGATGCAATTCATGTTCCACTTTTAAATAATAAAACAAGCATGAAATTCAAATGAACAAATGCCCCATGTCGTTTTATAATTTAAACCTCAGTAACAGCTAAATGTTTTATTTGGGAGGTATTTCATCGGTTATATGTGTCAAGTCACGAAATCAGACAAACAAATGCACGTGGAATATAATTAGTCACGCCTCTCCATTATTTTGTATGAAAATTGCACAAATTCCAAACATATCACAGTGCATGTCGGGATATCACTTCGCTCTGAAGCCTTGGTCGAAGTGGCTAAGGGTCGAATTAGTCCCTACACCCTCAATCATTTTCACTCCCTCAGCTTTGGGACACTTGTGCAAATGGCGCAGGTGCGCTTGAAAACGCAAATGGAGAGCCAAGGAGTGAGGGGAAAGGGGTGATTTGGGATTCAGCCATAGACAAACAGCTGTAGTCATCATTCATATCCACTCATTCAGCAAATAGAACATGATCCGTTTTAAAAATCACCCTGGTCTTCAATATCATGTAAAAAAAAAAACATGAACATATCAAAACAACTAAAGTACTCCTCCATTTAGCAAATTATCTAAGCAAAAAATGTAGAACAAAATTAGTGCTGTCAATAAATAAATACTGTATACGTACAAATAAAAAGGGCATGCATGAATATTCAAGCTGGACGCAGATCACATTCAACAAGCAGAGTGCATCACGAGAGTTCAGACAGTGAGGAATCTAGATCATATCTAATTTTCACAGGGTACAGAGTTATCAGACTACATTTTTCTCAGAGAAGACACTCCAGTAAACGGGTGTCTAATCCCCAATATCTTTTTCCTAGTCTTGCAAATAGTGACAATGCAGTAGTTAGGCCCATCAGATATCCATTGAGTGAAGAGTACCAACTTACCAACATTTTGTACAGACAGTTATTGTAGGACAAAGTGTTTAGTGTATTAGTAAAACACAAAATAAAGGGTTGTGTTCATTAGGCACCAAACAGAAGACAACATACTGGAACAGAGGAGAACTACTTGGACAATAAGAAATGCACATTCTTTTTTTATTACACATTTTCAGTTGCGTGCCCTAATGAACACGACCCAGATGTGGTGGCTGTTTCTTCCAGTAAACACTAGATTGGCAGACAGACAGACTGACTGACAAGCCACTGTGGTTTTCATGTTCAACCAACACCCTCTGCTGGCAAACAGCCTAAATGCAGAACTGTCTGGTTTGTGTGTGCTCCCAAGTCCCCAAAGGCTCACATCTGCTCAAGTCATCTGCTCAAGTCATCTGCTTGTTTTCAATGAGAGTGACAGCGATTCCTAAAAGCATAAGAAAGGAAATCCAGGAAAAAACGAGGACCAAATAAAGCAAAAGAACAGGACCAGTAACACCATCAACTACCCGACACAACAAGATTTGTCGCCTACTCACTGGAGCGACAGAGCATGGAAAGAGCAAAAAGGCACCCATCTTCCATCCCAGCCTCTTCACCTCCATGACTACTCCATCCTTCATTTCTGCACCAGAAGGACCTTCAGAAACACTAAGGCTTTGGTCTATGGGGGAGCAGGGGGTTGGTTGGTTGGGTCGGTGGGATGTTTGCTTAAAAGTAAGACCTCAGAAATAAGAATTCAGAGGGTGGGGTAATGTTCAGAGTCACTGTCAGTCAGGCAGGGGTCTGTCACCCAATGTCCCATCCCTGCCTGTGTGTGTGCGCACGAGTGTGTGTGAGAGTTTCTGTCGTCTACTTGAGAACCAGAGTGGCCTCGCTGCCATCTTTCCTCTTCAGGTACAGGCCATGGGTCAGGTGGTGCTCTCGCCGCAGGTACGCATAGAAGTAGTCCGACACCAGCAAGATCTGAGAAGAAACAAAGTCATTATCAGAAATCCATCTGTGAATAGTAGAATTTCAATAGTTATAGGTACTGTCCTCCCATCAAGCTGATTTCACAGCTACAAGCTATAGAAGATATTACATCTTACATTTTAAACATTGCTACATAACAATTCTGGGAGCATCTCCAAACCATGTATGGAATGGATAGGCCTTCCTTCCTTTTCAAATGATGTCATCTCAGGCAAAGTCAACCTGCATACTATCAGAGAAATTGGAAATCTATGTCAGCCAAAGCGGTCAGCTAGTAAAACTGACCAGGTTAATCTCACATGGTTTATCTCAAAACTGACAGACAGGTTTACCACAATCTCACACTGGTTATCTAAATATAATTCACAACCACTGAACTACGAACTCAACATTTGTTTACGGGAACAGTTTTTATAAATAGTCTGCTCTCTGCACAAGTGTATAATTGAGCAGTCTGGGAAGTCTAGGAATAGGCTTCATCTGAGAAACCTAACATAATAGGCTAAAGGGCCTCAGTATCAGCTATAATTTATACTATTATGTGCCCAGAGTACTGTGTGAACCTAATAAGGGCCTTGTTTTGTTGAAAACAACACCGTCAAATTATGAATGACCCCCTAAGACACCATTATCCTCATTTTCCCCTCCGGAGATTGAAAATAGTGTTTGTTCAGTCTTTGCTGATCCTGCTTACGTCCTTAGCTGAGAAGACAAGGAAGAAAAGTCTCAATGGACCAAAATTAGCTATTTTATCCCAAAGTGTCTTACACCCAGTTTACCGGCCTCTCCATTAAACAGTGTTGGACAGTGATATCATAGTCATACTCTGACAGGTAACCCAAAACCTTGGTTTCTATGTCATCTTTTCCAGAGCAGGTGTTGGTCACCATGAATTACTGAAAAACGTGGCCGAGGATGAACATTCCTGCGTCCGGTCCCCTCTGTAAGTCCTTGCTCTGTACTACCATGATTTCAAATGCAAAATGGCTGCCGTTTATTTAGAATGTTTATCTGGTAGCTTATCAATGGGGAAAGTCCTCCAATAAGTCTACCTGTTATACTGCCTCCACTATTCATTATAGGTGACATCATAAGCCTCTTCTACATACAAACTTGACAACTTCTGGTCCGTAGCCAGACTCACTGTATCATTGATCTTGGTGAGATGCCCCAGGGGTGTCATTTGGGTATAGCAGTCTGTGGCAGTTAACATACCCTAGCTCAAGACCAACAATGTTAAATACGGTGCAACTAGCATTCCAATCCCAAGGCAAAAGACCTTGCCATACCCTAGGACAGGGTTCCCCAACTGGCAGCCCGTGCATTGAATTTGGCCCATGGGTGGTTTTATTTGGCCCCCAAAGTTTTCTGAGAAAAAACTAAATTGTTTTTATTGTTGGACATAAAATACTTAAAAAACACCAGGAAATAAGCTCCAAGTGATTTTAATTTAAGAAATCTGTTTCCAACTATTCCCACACATAATAGAGAGACACGTGATCGCATACAAATGTAATGATTATGTTTTAGTCAAACATTATATCTGTTTGGGCTTCTTGCGGTCAATTTTCAGTCTATAAATTATTTGTAATTATGATCCTGCCCCCCAACCATCCGCTCAAGAAAAAGAAATCGGCCGGCGGCTGAATCTAGTCAATGATCAATGCCCTAGGATTAGCTGGAAATGACACTGAAGATGCCGGTCCCCATGCTAGCTTACCCAGCTGTGCAGCCTATGCCAGCCCACTCACCTGTGCCACGTTGAAGAGCAGCGTGATGGCGTAGTAGAAGTTGGAGTTGGCGCTGCCAGCGTAGATCCAGAGGTGCCAGAGGACGGGGAACAGGGCAGAGCAAGCCAACAACACAACTGACACCAGAAATATATTTCTCAAGACTGGAAGACAAAAGGGAAATAAAGACGTGAAATAAATAGAAAATATACACTGAGTGTACAAAACGTTAAGAACACCTTCCTAATAGTCCAGGCACTTGTCCTCTCCCGTCTGGACTACTGCAACTCACTGTTGGCTGGGCTCCCTGCTTGTGCAATCGAACCCCTGCAACTTATCCAGAACACAGCAATCCACCTGGTTTTCAACCTTCCCAAGTTCTCTCATGTCACCCCGCTCCTCCGCACACTCCACTGGCTTCCAGTCGAAGCTCGCATCCACTACAAGACCATGGTGCTTACCTACGGAACAGCAAGAGGAACTGCCCCTCCCTACCTTCAGGCTATGCTCAAACCGTACACCCCAACCCAAGCACTGCCACCTCAGGTCTCTTGGCCCTCCCACCCCTACGGGAGGGCAGCTCCTGCTCAGCCCAGTCCAAGCTCTTCTCTGTCCTGGCACCCCAATGGTGGAACCAGCTTCCTCCTGAAGCTAGGACAGCAGAGTCCCTGCCCATCTTCCGAAAACATCTGAAGCCTTACCTCTTCAAACAGTATCTTAAATAATCCTCTTCACCTAGACCCCCCCCCCCCCATTATTATTATTTTTTATATAAAAAAAGACTTGCCTATCTATCCACTGATGTAAATATATCCCGTCTGATTCCCAGTTTGTCCACTAGATAGCAGCAGGAGATCACATGACGTCTCTTGGCCACTTTAAACCAGTTGCGTCTGATTTGGGTAGTGAGTCACTGTGACAAAATGGCCATGATTGGGAAACACTGTCCTAGACCACTGTAAGAACCAGATGGGTGTAAGCTACAATGGCTAGCTTGCAATCAATGTTTCCTCTATTTCTTCCATCAATAACGAAATGTCAGGTCTGCTGAGCCCAAGCAACTTCCAGTGCACATTTACTGTGAACACTGAGGCTGTACCCACTTTAAGTTACAGTTTTAACAATGGCCAAGTAGGCTACAGTGGCTATTTGACCATAACATAGGCCTACCAGAGTGGCCTACCATCAAAAACAATGGAGAAAATGCATCCCATAACATTTTAACATGGAAATAGCGGTTCTATCATTTAGCCTACAGTAGCAGCAAATGTGTGTTTTTTTATTTTATTTTAACAGATGCTCTTATCCAGAGCGACTTACAGTTAGTGAGTGCATACATTTTCATACTGGCCCCCCGTGGGAAACAAACCCACAACCCTGCCGTTGCAAGCGCCATGATCTACCAACTGAGCTACAGGGGACTACCACTCCCCTCAGACCAGTGTTACTAGGGGGCCAACGGTTGTCGAGGGCGAACGATCCGGGTGCAGCAGTCAGAGTGAGCCACCAGGGGGCTCAACCGAGCCCAGCCACGACGGAGCCAAGGTCAAGAGCAGGTCTGCTCCATTCCCAAAGTATCTGAAGCTGCACTTCGTCAAGCAGGAGAGTGGAGATGGGAAAGACCCCCTGTCTCTCCAGCAGGCACTCCATGAGTCAGTGTTCTCCCCAGGTGGCTCCTCCTCTCCCCCTCACAGGGTGGCTCTGTGCTGGGACAAACACTGCCAGCTGCTCCCTGAGGTCCCGGGCCTCACTGCTAAGAGAGTTGCAACCTGGACCGCTGACGAGGTGGCCAGTTTTGTCAAAGGGCTCCCGGGCTGCAAAGAGCACGCTGCCACCTTCAGGACAGAGCAAATAGACGGAGAGGCCTTCCTGCTTCTCACCCAAGCAGACATAGTCAAGATCCTGTCAATCAAACTAGGCCCCGCCCTCAAGATATACAACGCCATACTCATGCTGAAGAACGCTGATGAGGAGTGAGACGCACCCTCACGCTTCACTTCCTCCCATACCCGACCACTGTATCTCAATAGTCTAGAGAAGTTTCATCTCCTTTCCTTGCCTCCTCACCTTATCCCCTTTGATCTTGTGGTCCTCTGTAGCTCAATTGGTAGAGCATGGCGCTTGTAACGCCAAGGTAGTGGGTTCGATCCCCGGGACCACCCATACGTAAAAATGTATGCACAAATGACTGTAAGTCGCTTTGGATAAAAGCGTCTGCTAAATGGCATATTATTATTATTATATTATTACATTCCATGAGACTTTTGAAAAAAACATGCAGGGCTTGACATTAACCTGTTTATCCACTTATTTTTCAGACAAGGAGGTTTGTTGTTTGATACAAGAAACCACTTTACAAAATAAAATGCATTATTATTCCCAGACAACTATTACAGAGAATCAGACAAATGATGCAACCCTCGGCCTATTGGCTACTTAGCTTATTCAAGCCTGTCTCAAAATACAACACTGCCACTTTAAGACAAAAAAAGCTCTTTACCTGACTCGCTTTTCAAAGATGTCTAGAAATGTGCACGTTTTGTGCTCTTGTAGGAAGCAATCACTCCCCTATTGCTGACTACAAATGATCTATAACTGGGATAATAACTCACTAATTAGAAAAGGATATGAACAAAATGTGCACACGTGGCTACATGCAGCTCTCGCTTTGATCTCAAAACAAGCGCATCTACTCACAACCACAGCTGTAAACAGTCCAGTTCAAAGTAAACAGCACAGATCCACATATGGCAATGGTCAATTTGCATATAGGCCTACTACGTGCCCAATAGAATCATACTCCGATGCGTTCTACCTACAACAAAATCTCTTGCATAGTTCGCTTTGTTTCGGTATGTGGCATTGAAAGTGGCTAATATTGCTTTGATTCGATCACAATTGCCACAGTAACGTTGATAACTAACTAACTAACAGAGAAACAAACTAACTGAGAAAACTCCAGAAAGTTGAGTGAAGTTCAATCTCGCGCTTCTCTCTGTGGGCTGATATTTCTTCTGCGCTCGGCGTGGCAGTCCCGGGGGAGCTGCGTGGCAGTCTCCGGTTACTGCGCTCACACGCACAGCTTAGAGGGAACATTGCTTGCAATCCAGTTCCTCTACATCAGCAAACAATGAAAGGGGTCGGGGCCAAGCGTAGAACCTTCTCTGTACTTGGGTGTGTTAAGAGGAAACTGCCGTAGTGGCGTAGTACCAAATTAAACTGATCGTCAACACCTTGATTAGATGAATCAGGTGTTCCACTGCTCAGCTGGGACAAAACCTGCAGTACTGCGGATTTGAGGATTACTGCACTACATTATTAGGGACTCACGATGTTAAGGAGCACACACTCCATGTCCAACGCCATCTGTTGTGCATCTCATTAACATGTTTCCAAAACCTCTCCTTGAGACCACCTCCGAGTGCCACTAGAGATCCTGGTTCGAATCCAGGCTCTGTCGTAGCCGGCCGCGACCGGGAGACCCATGGGGCGGCGCACAATTGGCCCAGTGTCGTCCAGGGTAGGGGAGGGAATGGCCGGCAGGGATGTAGCTCAGTTGGTAGAGCATGGCGTTTGCAACGCCAGGGTTGTGGGTTCGATTCCCACGGGGGGCCAGTATGAAAAATAAAATAAAATAATGTATGCACTCACTAACTGTAAGTCGCTCTGGATAAGAGCGTCTGCTAAAATGAAAAAAAATAAAATAATAATCAGTAGGCGCAAAATGGAAGAAAGCGCTTTGAAAAGTGAAAAGGGGAGGTACCAGCTAAACTAGTCCAATAAGACATGCTTGTGTTCGTCTTCTATTGCAAAACTGTTTACTACGGTGTGCCCTATTGAACACAACCCCAGGGTCATGGGAAGGAACAATAGAGAATGATAGTGGCCAAAGGCCATATTAGCATGGGCAGCGCCATTGAGGGCGTCCACCATTTTAATGTAGTCAACTGGGTGGGACTTCAACTTCATTGACTGATCCCTCCTGGTGACTGTTGGAATCATGTCCAACCATGTCATCAGGAGGGATCAACCAATCGTGAAGAAGAAAATGGACTACTTTAAAATGCAGATAGCCTCAATGGCGCTGCCCATGCTGTCACAGACACTATAATGGCACAGATACAAAGCTAAGTCCTCTATCTATCTCTATGGAAGGAACCACTCGCATCTGTATAGGTGGTTCCAGGCGGGCAGGAAGGCCATGTAGAGGGCGATGTCGCCCACGGTGGGGTAGGACTTGAAGATGGAGATGACGGCAATCTGCATGAAGATCAGAAAAAACGGGTGCTCCCTGGGACAGAGAGAGGACAGCCGAGTGTTACTACTGTACGGCAGCCATTTTAAGACAAAATCATTTACAGGACGTATTGATGTCACTCGTTTAGATGGGATACATTATATATACAGTAGATTTGGTCCTGTGTGGCACAGTAGAGCATAGCGGTTGTAACACCAGAGTTCTGGGTTCGATTCCCACTGGGGCAACCCATACAAAATGTATGCAACCATACCAAATGTATGCACGCACTACTGTAAGTCGCTTTAGATGAAATTGTCTGCTAAATGGTATGTACATTAATATAAGTTAATACATAATGTTAGGTTCTAAGTTCTGGTTCAATAATCCAGACGAATACCAAAGAAAGCTCAGGGTAGATATATTCACCACACTCGGTTTTGCAGCTGCAAGAACACCATACAAATTCTCAAGCACCTGTATTTATAACATCCGACTAGGCCCCCCTTCCCGACTAGGCCCCCCTTCCCGACTAGGCCCCCCTTCCCGACTAGACCCTCCTTTTGTGTCTAGGATGAACAATCGCTAAGAATATATAAAATCTCATTTATATTAGGAGTATATAATGGTATAAAACAGTAAAGATATAAAACAGTCATAAAATAGTAATTACAATCTACCAGCTCTAACTCCAGATACATGGCTACTATTCAACCCTTATTGAATCATTCTTGCCCTCAGAGACAGGCCCCCTTTATACATTCCCTCTACCCAAATACAATGCACATAGAGCATTCCATCTAACCGATAACACTAGGCTAATTATACAATTACAAAGAGGTTAAAATGGGCTCAAGTCCATATCCAACAATAATAATATACATCATAAAACATGAATAATACCCAGGAACATCAATGGCAATTATATCCACTGAAATGGAAATTCATGTATACTGAACAAAAATATAAAACACAACATGAAGTGCTGGTCCCATGTTTTATGAGCTGAAATAAAAGATCCCAGTGTCTGGGGACTCTTATATGTTGAGCCAGGGTGTTAGTTTCTATGTTTAGTGTTCTATGTTTATGTTCTAGTTTATGTGTTGGCCGGGGTGGTTCCCAATCAGAGGCAGCTGTGGCTTGTTGTCTCTGATTGGGAACCATACTTAGGCAGCCTGTTTTGCACTTGTCATTTGTGGGATCTTGTTCCGGAGAGGTTTGTGTTTGTTAACCTTAGGACCTCACATATCGTATTTTTTTTTTTGTTGTAAATTGTTGTTTAAAGTACTCATTAAAAGATGTACGCATATCACGCTGCGCCTTGGTCCGTTGCTTACGACGATCTGACAGAAGATCCCACCAATTAAGGACCAAGCAGCGTGTCCAGGAGCAGACAGCCTGGACTTGGGAGGAGATCCTGGACGGGAAGGGATCCTGGACTTGGGAGGAAATCCAGGCCGGAATGGATCGCCGTCCGTGGGAGGAGACTGTGGAGGCGCGCCATAGAGAGGAGCAGCGGCGCCAACCGTGCCGACGTCGGACACGCAAGAGGCAACCCCAATACATTTTTTGGGGAGGGCACACGGCTTGGACGACGGGGCAGCAGGAGGCAGCTACAGGGCGAATCTGCAGAATAGGAGAGGAGGCCACCAGGTTACGGGGGCTATTGGTCATGAGAGAGCAGGAGTTAGTTGGTCAGAGGGAGGAACTACTGGAGGCGATAAGGGAGAAGGAGAGTGTAGAGGCACGGCGAGAGGAACTGGTTAGGCAGCAGAGGGAGCGGAGGTTTATGAGGAAACCCAGTCCCGCTCCTCGCACCAAGCAAGTGGTGTGTGTCTCCAGTCCGGTCCGGCCCGTTCCTGATTCACGCACTAAGTTAGTGGTGCGTGTTCCCAGTACGGCCCGACCCGTTCCTGCTTCCCGCACAAGGCCAGTGGTGTGTGTTCCCAGTACGGTCCGGCCTGTTCCTGATCCCCGCACTAAGTTAGTGGTGCGTGTTCCCAGTACGGCCCAACCCGTTCCTGCTCCCCGCACTAAGTTAGTGGTGCGTGTTCCCAATACGGCCCAACCCGTTCCTGCTCCCCGCACTAAGTTAGTGGTGCGTGTTCCCAGTATGGCCCAACCCGTTCCTGCTCCCCGCACTAAGTTAGTGGTGCGTGTTCCCAGTACGGCCCAACCCGTTCCTGCTTCCCGCACAAGGCCAGTGGTGTGTGTTCCCAGTACGGTCCGGCCCGTTCCTGATCCCCGCACTAAGTTAGTGGTGCGTGTTCCCAGTACGGCCAACCCGTTCCTGCTCCCCGCACTAAGTTAGTGGTGCGTGTTCCCAATACGGCCCAACCCGTTCCTGCTCCCCGCACTAAGTTAGGGGTGCGTGTTCCCAGTACGGCCCAACCCGTTCCTGCTCCCCGCACTAAGTTAGTGGTGCGTGTTCCCAGTACGGCCCAACCCGTTTCCTGCTCCCCGCACTAAGTTAGTGGTGCGTGTTCCCAGTACGGCCAACCCGTTCCTGCTCCCCGCACTAAGTTAGTGGTGCGTGTTCCCAATACGGCCCAACCCGTTCCTGCTCCCCGCACTAAGTTAGGGGTGCGTGTTCCCAGTACGGCCCAACCCGTTCCTGCTCCCCGCACTAAGTTAGTGGTGCGTGTTCCCAGTACGGCCCAACCCGTTCCCTGCTCCCCGCACTAAGTTAGTGGTGCGTGTTCCCAGTCCAGCCTGGCCCGTTCCTGCTCCCCGCACTAAGTTAGTGGTGCGTGTTCCCAGTACGGCCCGGCCTGTTCCTGCCCCTCACACCAAGCCAGTGGTGCGCGTCGTCAGTCCGGCACAGCCCGTGCCTGTTCCACCGGTGCCTGGTCAGGTACCGGTCAGCTGCTCCACACCGGAGCCTAAGCAATCCGCTCCACCGATGTCCAGTCCAGCTCCAGCCAGCGGGACCAGACCAGGGGTGCTACGGGGGGGGGGGGTAGCGAGAGAGTGGTGGTCACGCCCGGAGCCGGATCCGCCTCCGAGGCGGAATGCCCACCCGGCCCCTCCCCTGTTGGATTTAGTTGGCGTGGTCGCAGTCCGCGCCTTTGGGGGGGTGGGGGGGGTACTGTCACGCCCTGGCTCTGGGGACTCTTATATGTTGAGCCAGGGTGTTAGTTTCTATGTTTAGTGTTCTATGTTTATGTTCTAGTTTATGTGTTTCTAAGTTGGCCGGGGTGGTTCCCAATCAGAGGCAGCTGTGGCTTGTTGTCTCTGATTGGGAACCATACTTAGGCAGCCTGTTTTGCACTTGTCATTTGTGGGATCTTGTTCCGGAGAGGTTTGTGTTTGTTAACCTTAGGACTTCACATATTTTTTTTTTTTTTTTTTTTTGTAAATTGTTGTTTAAAGTACTCATTAAAAGATGTACGCATATCACGCTGCGCCTTGGTCCGTTGCTTACGAAGATCGTGACACCCAGAAATTTTCCATATGCACAAAAAGCGTATTTCTCTAAAATATGCACAAATGTGTTTACATCAATAATAACGTGCATTTCTCCTTTACCAAGATAATCCATCCACCTGACAGGTGTGGCATATCAAGAAGCTGATAAAACAGCATGATCATTACACAGGTGCACCTTGTGCTGGGGACAATAAAAGGCTACTCTAAAAAGTTGAGGGAGTGTGCAATCAGTATGCTGACTGCAGGAATGTCCACGGGAGCTGTTGCCAGAGAATGTAATGTACATTTTTCTACCATAAGCTGCCTCCAACGTCGTTTTAGAGAATTTGGCAGTATGTCCAACCGGCCTCACATTGCAAACCACGTCTAACCACGCCAGCCCAGGAGCTCCACATCCGGACCAGCCACCCGGACAGCTGAAGAAAATGTGGGTTTGCACAACCGAATAATTTCTGCACAAACTGTCAGAAACAGTCTCAGGGAAGCTCATCTGCGTCTTGACCTGACTGCAGTTTGGCGTCATAACCGACTTCAGTGGGAAAGTGCACATTGGAGAAGTGTGTTCTTCATGGATGAATCCCGGTTTCAACTGTACCGGGCAGATTGCAGACAGCATAGCGTGTATGGCGTCATGTGGGCGAGTGGTTCGCTGATGTCAATGTTGTGAACAGAGTGCCCCATGGTGGCGGTGCGGTTATGGTATGGGCAGGCATAAGCTATGGACAACGAAAACATTTGCATTTTATCAATGGCAATTTGAATGCACAGATATACCGTGACGAGATCCTGAGGACCATTGTCGTGCCATTCTTCCGCTGCTATCACCTCATGTTTCAGCATGATAATGCACGGCCCCATGTCGCAAGGATCTGTACACAATTCCTGGAAGCTGAAAATGTCCCAGTTCGTCCAAGGCCTGCATACTCACCAGACATGTCACCCATTGAGCAGGTTTGGGATGCTCTGGATCGACGTGTACGACAGTGTGTTCCAGTTCCAGCCAATATCTAGCAACTTCGCACAGCCATTGAAGAGGAGTGGGACAACATTCCAAAGGCTACAATCAACAGCCTGATAAACTCTATGCAAAGGAGATGTGTCGCGGTGCATGAGGCAAATGTTGGTCACACCAGACTGGTTTTCTGACCCTATTATTATTATTTTTGTAAAGTTATCTGTGACCAACAGATGCATATCTCAAATGAAATCAAATTGTATTTGCCACATGCGCTGAACACAACAGGTGTAGACCTTACAGTGAAATGCTTACTTACAAGCCCTTAACCAACAATGCAGTTTTAAGAAAATAAAAAAGTGTTAAGTAAAAAATAGATAAGTAAAAAATTAAAATAGCAAATAATTAAAGAGCAACAGTAAAATAAAATAACAGTAGGGAGGCTATATACAGGGGGTACCGGTACAGAGTCAATGTGCGGGGGCACCGGTTAGTCGAGGTAATTGAGGTAATATGTACATGTGGGTAGAGCTAATGTGACTATACCTAGATAATAAACAGAGTAGCAGCAGCGTAAAAGAGGGGGTGGGGTGGCAATGCAAATAGTCTGGGTAGCCATGATTAGCTGTTCAGGAGTCTTATGGCTTGGGGGTAGAAGCTGTTAAGAAGCCTTTTGGACCTAGACTTAGGGCTCCGGTACCGCTTGCCATTTGGTAGCAGAGAGAACAGTCTATGACTAGGGTGGCTGGAGTCTTTGACAATTTTTAAGGCCTTCTTCTGACACCACCTGGTATAGAGGTCCTGGAAGGCAGGAAGCTTGGCCCCAGTGATGTACAGGGCCGTACGCACTACCCTCTGTAGTGCCTTGCAGTCGGAGGCCGAGCAGTTGCCATACCAGGCGGTGATGCAACCAGTCAGGATGCTCTCGATGGTGGAGCTGTAGAACTTTGAGGATCTGAGGACCCGTGGGGAATAGGCTTTGTCGTACCCTCTTCAAGACTGTCTAGGTGTGTTTGGACCATGATAGTTTGTTGGTGATGTGGACACCAAGGAACTTGAAGCTCTCAACCTGTTCCACTACAGCCCTGTCGATGAGAATTGGGGCGTGCTCAGTCCTCTTTTTTTTCCTGTAGTCCACAATTCTCTACTTTGTCTTGATCACGTTGAGGGAGAGGTTGTTATCCTGGCACCACACGGCCAGGTCTCTGACCTCCTCCCTATAGGCTGTCTCATCGTTGTCAGTGATCAGGCCTACCACTGTTGTGTCGTCGGCAAACTTAATGATTGTGTTGGAGTCGTGCCTGGCCATGCAGTCATGGGTGAACAGGGAGTACAGGAGGGGACTGAGCACGCACCCCTGAGGGGCCCCCGTGTTGAGGATCAGCGTGGCAGATGTGTTGTTACCTACCCATCAGGAAGTCCAGGATCCAGTTGCAGAGGGAGGTGTTTAGTCCCAGCGTCCTTAGCTTAGTGATGAGCTTTGAGGGCACTATGGTGTTGAACGCTGAGCTGTTGTCAATGAATAGCATTCTCACGTAGGTCTTCCTCTTGTCCAGGTGGGAAGGGCAGTGTGGAGTGCAATAGAGATGCATCATCTGTGGATCTGTTGGGGCGGTATGCAAATTGGAGTGGGTCTAGGGTTTCTGTGATAATGGTGTTGATGTAAGCCATGACCAACCTTTCAAAGCACTTCATGGCTACAGACGTGAGTGCTACGGTTCGGTAGTCATTTAGGCAGGTTATCAGTGCATGCTCGGAGTACACATCCTGGAAATCCGTCTGGCCTTGCGGCCTTGTGAATGTTGACCTGCTTAAAAGTCTTACTCACATCGGCTACGGAGAGCGTGATCACAGTCATCCGGAACAGCTGATGCTCTCAAGCATGCTTTAGTGTTGCTTGCCTCGAAGCGATTTAGCTCGTCTGGTAGGCTCGTGTCACTGGGCAGCTCGCGGCTGTGCTTCCCTTTGTAGTCTGTAATAGTTTGCAAGCCCTGCCACATCCGACGAGCGTCGGAGCAGGTGTAGTACGATTCAATCTTAGTCCTGTATTGACTCTTTGCCTGTTTGATGGTTCGTCGGAGGGCATAGCGGGATTTCTTATAAGCGTCCGGGTTAGAGTCCCGCTCCTTGAAAGTGGCAGCTGTACCCTTTAGCTCAGTGCAGATATTGCCTGTAATCCATGGCTTCTGGTTGGGGTATGAACATACGGTCACTGTGGGGACGACGTCATCGATGCACTTATTGATGAAGCCAGTGACTCATGTGGTGTACTCCTCAATGCCATCGGAAGAATCCCAGAACATATTCTAGTCTGTGCTAGCATTGTAGACTGTGGGGCGGTGTTATCTCAAATAACAAACTGTTTGTTTACAAACAAATACAGTACCAGTCAAAAGTTTGGACACACCTACTCATTCAAGGGTGTTTCTTTATTTTAACTATTTTCTACATCGTAGAATAATTGTGAAGACATCAAAACTATGACATAACACATATGGAATCATGTAGTATAATATATTTGAGATTTGAGATTCTTCAAATAGCCACCCTTTGCCTTGATGACAGCTTTGCACACTTTTGGCATTCTCTCAACCAGATTCACCTGGAATGCTTTTCCAACAGTCTTGAAGGAGTTACCACATATGCTGAGCACTTGTTGGCTGCTTTTCCTTCACTCTGCGGTCCAACTCATCCCAAACCATCTCAATTGGGTTGAGGTCGGGGGATTGTGGAGGCCAGGTCATCTGATGCAGAATTCCATCACTCTCCTTCTTGGTCAAATCGCCCTTACACAGCCAGGAGGTGTGTTGGGTCATTGTCCTGTTGAAAAACAAATGATAGTCCCACTAAGCCCAAACCAGATGGGATGGCGTATCACTGCAGAATACTGGGGTAGCCATGCTGGTTAAGTGTGCCTTGAATTCTAAATAAATCACAGACAGTGTCACCACCAAAGCAGTCCCACATATCACACCTCCTCCTCCATGCTTCAAGGTGGGAACTACACATGCAGAGATCATCCACTCACCTACACTGCGTCTCACAAAGACACAGCGTTTGGAACCAAAAATCTCAAATTTGGACTCCAGACCAAAGGACACATTTCCACCGGTCTAATGTCCATCGCTCGTGTTTCTTGGACAAAGCAAGTCTCTTCTTCTTATTGGTGTCCTTTAGTAGTTTTTTCTTTGCAGCAATTTGACCATGAAGGCCTGATTCACGCAGTCTCCTCTGAACAGTTGATGTTGAGATGTGTCTGTTACTTGAATTCTGTGAAGCATTTATTTTTGCTGCAATTTCTGAGGCTGGTAACTCTAATGAACTTATCCTCTGCAGCAGAGGTAACTCTGGGTCTTCCTTTCCTGTGGCGGTGCTCATGAGAGCCAGTTTCATCATAGCGCTTAATGGAACTGTTGATGGAACGGGCTCTCGTGAGGTTCTTCACATTTTCCGGAATGACTGACCTTCATGTCTTAAAGTAATGATGGACTGCCATTTCGCTTTGATTATTTGAGTTGTTCTTGCCATAGTATGGACTTGGTCTTTTACCAAATAGGGCTATCTTCTGTATACCCCCCCCCTACCTTGTCACAACACAATTTATTGGCTCAAACGCATTAAGGAGGAAAGAAATTCCACAAATTAACTTTTAACAAGGCACACTTGCCAATAGTGTGCAAAGCTGTCATCAAGGCAAAGGGTGGCTACTTTGAAGAACCTCAAATATAAAATATATTTAGATTTGTTTAACACTTTCTTGGTTACTACATGATTCCATATGTGTTATTTCATAGTTTTGATGTCTTCACTATTCTTCTACAATGTAGAAAATAGTAAAAATAAAGAAAAACCCTTGAATGAGTAGGTGTGTCCAAAAATGTTGACTGACACTGTACATACATTTGACATAATTGCAATGACCAAAATCAGGTTTAATTCTAAATACCATAACGGGTATCATCAACATTGTAGTTACTCATTCATTAACCTGCCTATTACCACAAGGTGGTAGTATAATATCCACTTCATAGAAAAGAGACGAAGCACTTGGGTGACATTTTCATCTGTGCAAAAAAAATTGCAATTGGGCCACGTGATTTAATTTGAAACTTTTCTTCAACAATATGCATTATAAGGAGGCAATTATTCAACTAGTTTATTGAACTGAGCAATGTATAGTCACCTCCTTACAACATACATTGTTGAAATATTTTAAATGACATCAGGCTGCCAGATAATGAGATTTACTGTATTTTCTCTCCACAGATCTGTGCTCTTTTTCACCACGAAAACGACACCCCTAGTCTCACTATACTGTGAGTTAAAGAGAAGAGGGACTCACTTTAGCTTGATGGAGAGTGGAATGGTGTAGAAGAACACGTTGATCTGAAAGACGCAGATGAAGAAGAGGCGGAAGTGCTCAAACATCTCGGCAAAGAAGTACCAGAAGAGGCCTATGTTGGGGGTGAGGTCTGGAACGCAGAGGCTGGGGGGGGAGGGGGGGGGTGGTACAGAGAACAGCATTCACACAGTCAGAGGGGAAAGCATAAAGGTCCTTTCATAACACATTCTGTCGCATAGCGGTCTCTCATCTTCCAAATATGTAAATATGTCTGCTAGGCCTAAATGCCATCCCAAATTAAGAAAGACGAACTTTATTCATGAGATTTTTGATAGCGGGCGAAGGTTCTCTCTATCCTATTCCATGTGGCGCAGCGGTCTAAGGCAATGCATCTCAGTGCTAGAGGCGCCACTACAGACCCTGGTTCAATCCCAGGCTGTATCACAACCGGCCATGATTGGGAATCCCATAGGGCGGCACACAATTGGACCAGCGTCGCCGGGATAGGCTATCATTGTAAATAACACATTTTTCTTAACTGACTTGCCTAGTTAAATTAAGGTTAAATAAAATAAAAATTCATAACAAATTCATTCATTGTATGCTAAGGTCTACAACATCAAGCTGAAAAAAACTCCCTTAGTTTATGTGTCCATCAGGGTTGGGCTCAATCCCATTAAAATTAAGTATATTGCTGAAATGGAATGACCCCAACACTGGTGTCACTCACATGAATCCGTAGACGGAAGACAGGAAGTCCCAGGAGCTGAGCAGGAAGAAGGACAAACAGACCATGACCCACAGGCTGCCCAGGTACATGAAGGCATACTGCATTGTGAAGAGCCAGAAGCTGGATCTTTGCCAGTTCACTGGGATGTACAATCTCTGTGGGCAAGATAGAAACACCAGGGAGAGAATTAGTGTTTTAAATGCTTAAAAATCGCGGGCAGAATGTATCAAGCGTCTCAGAGTAGGAGGGCTTTATTTAGATCAAAATGATTAAGGTTACATGGACACTGAAAACCTGATCCTAGATCTGTGCTGCTATTCTGAGATGCTTGAAACATACTGTTGACTCCTGGTCTCCTTAATTTGCACTGATGTGGAAAAGACTTGAAAGGTGGAAGCTCATCATTAGGCTGCCTGTCACCTGTTCAGTTCTTACAGATCAGTACAATGAAGTAGACAGGGCAAGGAGAGGACAGAATTTTGTATGTTCACCAGGGGTGCATCTCAATAATCCAACTTGGCCTCCTCTCCACTCTGTGACTCCTTCAACTGCATTGAACTGAAGGCATAAGCTAGAACACATATTGTGGATGCCTACCAACCAGGACTTAACTTTCACCTGCCCAGTTTTCATGTCTGTGCATATAAAGGAAAGGCGACAAGGGGAGGAAGCCACTTTGGACTATAGAGATGGGCCACATATCACTAACCACGTTTCGATCTACAGTCTTTATGCGAGTAAAGTCATACTGTATAAAAAAAAAAATGTCGGCAGAATTTGTTATTTTTGTGTCGGTAAAATGGAAACTATTTATTGGACAATTGTTGATAGAATAACCTTTCCTGGCTACCCAAACTCCTTGCTCTGGCCAAACAGTATGCCACGCCCACGGACATTAGTTTCTTCTCCGCAATGAGTCTGGATCAGAGTACGCAAACACATTCTAACTGGTCTGATTGGTCCCAGAAACCGATGGGTTGGGCCATAGCCAAAACACACGTAAGTAAAGCAGTGTTCTGAAAATGCGTCATTGGCTTTCATTCTCTGATTGGTTAGAGATTATCCAATCGCTGATGAATTTGTTTTGTACAACACCCCTAATTTTGACGTCACCACAATCAACTTCAACGATGGCAGTCTCAGACTGAAGTTTGTAGAATTCAGTTTGAGTCGTCAGGCAAAGAATAACCATTATGTTGAGGTCAATTTTCAGTCACGGGATGCTACACTACATGACCAAAGGTATGTGGACACCTGCTCGTCGAACATCTCATTCCAAAATCATCATTAATATGGAGTTGGTCCCCCCTTTGCTGCTATAACAGCCTCCACTCTTCTGGGGAGGCGTCCCACTAGATGTTGGAACATTGCTGCAGGGACTTGCTTCCATTCAGCCACAAGAGCATTAGTGAGGTCGGGGACTGATGTTGGGCAATTAGGCCTGACTCGCAGTCAGCGTTCCAATTCATCTCAAAGGGGTTTGATGGGGTTGAGGTCAGGGCTCTGTGCAGGCCAGTCAAGTTCTTCCACACCGATCTCGACAAACCATTTCTGTATGGACCTCGCTTTGTGCACAGGGGCATTGTCATACTGAATCAGGAAAGGGCCTTCCCCAAACTGTTGCCACAAAATTGGAAGCACAGAATCGTCTAGAATGTCATTGTATGCTGTAGCGTTAAGATTTCCCTTCACTGGAACTAAGGGGCCTAGCCCGATCCAAGAAAAACAGCCCCAGACCATTATTCCTCCTCCACCAAACTTTACAGTTGGCACTATGTATTCGGGCAGGTAGCGTTCTCCTGGGGACCACTGGTCTCTGTCGCAAATTGGATGGAAACCTTGTGAAAAGTGAGGCCAACGTGAGTCTTTCAGCTGAGTGATACGAACGTACCTGTAGTAGGTATAGCAGTGCTGGGGCAAATAGTGTGAGGGGGTAGATTGACTGGTATGTCGCCAAGGCCAAGAATATCGCACTCATCAAGGCACTTCCTTCAATATCAGAGAAGAATTACGTTATTGACATGACAAGCAAATACATGGTTTGGGTCACACCAAAATAGTTTTTATTTTGTCATTTGTTGCGGTTCACATACCTTTTACTGTACAGAGAATGAAGAGTGCGATGACTGCATTGTTAAGCCCGCAGGTTGACTTTGCCACACAGGAGAGGATAGTGAAAGGGTTCAACAAGTAACTGCAGGGAGAGAGAGCAAAAACACAAGGTCATCATTAGGTTGTAAATACTTTATTTACCAAAACTGGCAGACACCCATAGGTTTCAAGGAGTAATTGTGTTGCTGTGCATCTCTGAATGTTGACATTGCTGTTCTTTAAGCTGACCAGTTTGAGCCAGGTGGAGTAGGGTGAAGTTAACCCTGGATTCTGATCTAGAGTCAGTTTTGTGTTTTACCCTCTAATGGTTAATGTTAGGACTGGGGAAAGTAAGCTGATCCTAGATCTGTGCCTTCTCTGGTACTTACAACATGGCCACTTTCAGAGGGATGTAGTACATCTCTTTGGGGGTGTGGATGAGCTCCAGGCAGTCCAGAGGATAGCGTTCAGCCTCCAGGGTGTACTTCTGTTTCCTGAACTGGAGCAGAAACACACACCACACTAGCTGTGCCACTATACCAAGTCTGTGTTGTTCCTGAACCCATAATGCAACAGCAAAGTCAAAAGTCTCTGGGATTCTTCAACATTGCAGTTGACTGCCAACTGACTGATCTACAAATATCCTTGCATCATAAATAACTACTCACTATTATTTGTAGATCAGTCAGTGAGTCACCATTTACCCAAAATGCATCACTGATTTGATGCTCTCGAACACCCAATCCCAGGGCATCTTGAAACAGCAGAAAGACGACACACCAACTATTGTGTTAACACTAGACAATGGCTGTGACGGAATTCTCCTGCCACGTCCTATTTTAGTAAGCTTGTTGGATATGTGAAAATAAAATGTTTTGTAGTAGAAGACTATATAAAATATAGCCAGGATGTGATACTCATTTCAGCTTTTCCTGTAGTTTGAATTCACTGCACACTTGAGGAAGTGACTCGACTTTTCAGACTCCTGTGTTTGTCACAACAGCTGACAACCAGATACAGGGGCAGCTAAACATTTAGCCTATGTTCTAAAATAGTAGGCCTATGTGGTCCTCTGTAGCTCAGCTGGTAGAGCACGGTGCTTGTAACGCCAGGGTAGTGGGTTTCATCCCCGGGACCACCCATACATAAAAATGTATGCACACATGACTGTAAATCGCTTTAGATAAAAGCGTCTGCTAAATGGCATATTATTTATATGTAGCAAATAGGCACAGTAAATACTTGTAGTAAGCAGTATGGAGTATATATTAGGTCACAGATCAAGGCTTGTTGTTCCTGTACCCATAATGCAAGTGAAATGTAAAATGTCTAACACCCAATCCCAAGGCATCTTGATGCATATTTTTAGGTCATGCATGATATCCCATGACACAGTATATCATCATGATCTGCATTATATTTATTTTGGCATTATTTGTCACTTACCACAGTTTTGTTGTAGCCCTTCACTGCTAGGTATAGCGCCACCGCAGTGAGTGCATCTGCTATCTATGGGGCAGGTTGAGAGGCAAAGATGATATAACAATTGATGGATGTATGGATGGATTTTACCTTTGGGAATCAAACTCAAATTATGGTTTCTCTGTAGCATCCATGTATGTTAAAGCTAATTGTCTATAAGCAAAACTAGCAGTCAAATTACACTGGACTCTCAATTTGATACAGGTATCAAACTGTATAGTGACATAATAGACAGTGTTATTACTGAATAAGTATATTAAAGGTTGCACTCACCATAAACACAATCTCTGCATAATCAATAACAAAGTGAAATAAGTATATAATGAGGGGAGTCTGAAAGAGAAAAGATGACATCGTGATTATAACACTTTGTGAATGTATTAATTTATGAAGCAACACATTGTTGTGATACAATGTTACTAGTTGAATGGAATGGAGAGAGGACTGACCTCATGGAACACATCCCCTGCATATGGCGATACTCCCAGGTCCAGGAGAGCCAGGCCTTCCACAACTACAAATAACAAACCATAAAACAACATTAACATATGGAACCAAAATAATGTGTGTAGTCTGTTGTGTCCACATTGTTCTCAACCATGATAGCTGGGGCTCGTTATTTTTATTCCAAAAACTGGTCCTGAACATTTTGCATTTTGAGTGCAATATCATAATTAAAGCCACATCTATTGCCGACTAAACTTAACTCCACGATATATAACTTAGCTAACTTGCATCTCGTGGAGTTGAGTCAGCTAGACTTGCACAAGCTGATGTACTGTCTGATTAATAATTAATATACCTCCCTGTCATTCCGTTTCTTTACAGGATATTGAGGATAAAACCAATAGATAAGGGAACAGTAGCAAATTACATTGTGGCTTGTATTAGAAAATAATGCAAACATGCATGAATCACTGTTGCAGTCGCTACCCATCCTTGCTTCCTTAGCTAGCTAGCCTACCATTGATTGCCATTCCAGAGAGCATGCCATACATTGGCAGCTAACTAGCTTAGATTATTCTCTGACTCCCCATGTATATTACTATATTCCTTTGTGGAATCACTAAAACTAGCAAGACTAGAACTCTCAATAACACTTTTACTGGTGCAGTCCAACCAGCTATCTAGGTTTGCATAATAACAAGCTAGCCGACCGGCGACATCATACTGACAGAGCAGCAGCAGTTCCCTACAAAGATAATCAATAAAGCGCCTACCTCTTTTCCAGGCATTTAGTGGAGATACTACCTCAACTCTTTCTGGTATTAGCTCAGCTAAACTTGATCTAAATAATACTGCTCTTATGGTTACAGCTACAATTAAAAGCAGGGTTAAGGGAGCTGCCATCTTTGTTGGGAGGAAGAAGCCATCAGCGGCTCGTCAGCAACACTAACAAAGTAAATCGGGGTCACGGCATTTCGAACGTTTTTTTAAATAAAAGTCCCCCACGTAATAGTAGAAAAGTGTAAATAAAAATAAACCTGTATTTATTCATGATATATGAAACATAATTCTCTAAACATTAACAATGATTCATATTTGTTCATATTTAAGTGACATTTGCATTACATTTGGGTTTTAAAACCTGTTCCAAGGTCAAGGCAAAAACTATTCTAGGTGCTGCAGTAAAAGTATTGTAGGGAATCTTCAGTAGGGTCTGTAGAATGTACACTGAGTATACCAAACATTAGGAAGACCTTCCTAATATTGAGTTGCACACCACCCTTTTGCCCTCAGAATAGCCTCAATTCATCTGGGCATGGACTCTACAAGGTGTCAAAGGCGTTCCACAAGGATGCTGACCCATGTTGACTCCAATGCTTCCTATGGAGGCGAAAGAAACACACACCTAATTAAGCGAGGTGCTGGCTAACGGAGTAGAACACTTGAAAAAGAAAAGGAGAGCTGCACACTCTAGGAGCTCAGATGCAATAATTTAATAACCTAATAACCAATGTTTCAACAGACAAGCTGTCTTCATCGGGGACTCCAATGCTTCCCACAGTTGTGTCAAGTTGGCTGGATGTCCTTTGGGTGGTGGACCGTTCTTGATACACACGGGAAACTGTTGAGCGTGAAAAACCCAGCAGCGTTGCAGTTCTTGACACAAACTGGTGCACCTGGCACCTACTACCATACCCCGTTCAAAGGCACTTAAATATTTTGTCTTTCCCATTCACCCTCTGAATGGCACACATACACAATCCATGTCTCACTGATTGAAGCGGATTTAACAAGTGACATCAATAAGGGATCATACAGTAGCTTTCACCTGGATTCACCTGGTCAGTCAATGTCATGGAAAGAGCAGGTGTTCTTAATGTTTTGTATACTCAGTGTATATGGTGTCATTTCATGGGGCACTGAATAATACAAAGTGTTCCTGGCCTTTTACTCCACCCATTCTATTGGACACAATGTGAATAACTGTATATGGAATACATATTGGCTTATAGTGCAAAAAACTATTATAGGTGCTGCAGTAAAAGTAAGGGAATACTCAGTAAGGTCTGTAGAATGTATACAGTGCTGTGAATAAGTATGTAATTGGTGTGTTATTTGTTCACTCAGGGTCCCTTTATCTAATATTAAGTTTTGGTTGAAGATTTGATAACATTCAGTATAAAAAATATGCAAAAATAGAGAAAATCAGAAAGGGGGCAAATACTTTTTCACGGCACTGTATATGGTGTTATTTCATGGGGCACTGAATAATACTGATTGTTGCTGGCCTTTTACTCCACCCATTCCATTGGCCACAATGCGTATCACTGTATATGGAATACATATTGGCTTCTACATCTGTTTTGCTTGCTGTTTGGGGTTTTAGGCTGGGTTTTTGTATAGCACTTTGTGACATCAGCTGATGTAAAAAGGGCTTTATAAATACATTTGATTGACATTTTATTGATTGACAGAGCAAAAACTATTCTAGGTGCCGCAGTAAAGGTATTGTAGAGAATACTCAGTAGGGTCTATAGAATACATATATGGTACAAATATAGCACTGTAAAGGAAAAACTATTCTTTTTGCCGATGTTTCATTCTTATGTTTTCTTTCAGTAATTGCAGTGACTTGATTATCAGAATCCCAAAAGTTATTTGTGCGTTGTTCTGATTTTTATGTTTCTCAACACTGATGTATCTACTCCAATGCCGCTTCGGTTCTGAGCGGCCAAACATCGGCGGTCGGCATTGGCTATTAATTCCCTGTGCACCTTATATATGGCAGTATTATGTAATGACAATGCAAGTTGCTCCTTCTCTGGAGCTTTTTTTATATCCTTTTCTGAGCGACTGAAAATTGATGATATCGAAAATGTACTACAGAGTAAGGATTTGACTTTTTAATCTTTCCTGCAAATAGGCTTACCCATGATAACTTTTTGAAATACCTACCACTTTTCTCTGAACGGAACCACTCCCATTCACCACGAGTTAATATAAACACACCATTATTTGGAGTGGTATGCCTGAACCCTCAAATTTGCCTCATCTGACAAAACACATTTCAGTGTATCCTCGCATATTCCATGCTGCTCATCTGATTCAGTTTTCATAGAGCTTATGATTTCCTGATCTGATATACCTCTACCACAAACTTTTATCTCTAAGTGGTAGTATTCATTCCCAATATCTTGGGTGTCAGATTTGATTGAGATGCACCACTGACACTTCCTCACACAAACTCATGGCTACATAAGGATGAAAATCAGAAGCAGGTTCTTATCCTCAAAAGTGTGTACATTTTGCATAGTGTTGCATATTGTTGTTGACATTCCCTCATTTAAACTCTCCACATGCAATAGGTTTTGAACCTGAGCCTCATTTACATTCTCTGTTTGTACCATTTTGTTTAATTTCACCTTGTTGTCACTAGCAGTAGAATGTATGAATGTGTCATGGTCGTACAGGTATGACAGACCATCATTGTTGCAGTCTTAGAAGCAGTTGGCTTCTTAACTAATCTGCTAATAATCGGTATTTGGCAATGCAAGAGTGCATGAAAGTTGTGTATAGAATGGCATTTTATTTCACACTAGGGTAAGCAGTTTATTTTTCCAACTGATATTCAACACAAAAACAGTCGATTCATTTATTGTTTTGGAATTAATATAACATGCAGGATTAAATGTAGACATTACAAGAAAGTTTATTTGAGAAAGATAGTAAGGTTTTCTCTTTACCAGTGTGTGGTCTTGCAATGACAAAATATGAAATCACATTAATATGCTTTTAAGCCACATATTTGGAGCTAGGCTGACTGTGACAACATAACAGTCTAAAATGGTAGCTGTCCATGGTGCTGATATGGGTCTCTGTTCAAATGTCAACCCAAAGCTTCCTATGACCTAGCTTTTTGTATTCTAGGGATTCTAGTTAGTAGACTGTAGTCTAGTAAACCCTGGTTTTATGGACACACAGTGCTATATTTGTACGGTATAGTGTCCAAGCAACCCACTTTAAGCTATTTGACCACAGTGAAAGTCCAGTAACACTCCGTATTATTCAGAGTCCCATAAAATTACCCCATATATAGATTCTACAGACCCTACTGAATAATTCCCACCCCACTTATTCATCGGCACAAATAACACTTTTTGCTCTATAAGCCAATATGTATTCCATATACAGTGATTTGTATTGTTGCCACTAGAATGGGTGGAGTAAAAGTCCAGCAACACTCCATATTATTCAGAGGCCCATCAAATGACACCATATATACAGTAGATTCTACAGACCCTACTGAGTAATCCCAACTTTTACATCGGCACAAATAATCGTTTTTCCTGTACAGTGCTATGTTTGTACCATATAGTGTGCCGGCACCCCATTTTAAGCTGTTTGACCACAGTAAAAGTCTAGCAACACCTCCTATAATCTAGCTTTTTGTTCAAACTCAACTGATTTGTTTTCTAGGGACTTTAGTGAGTAGACTGGACCCTGGTTTTATGGACACGCAATCAATATTTTTCCCTGTACAGTGCAATTTGTTTGTGCAATACAACAAAATACAGTGACTTTTCTTAGAAATTAGATTTCAACATTGCATTCTTGAACAATAGCACCAGTAAATAAACAAGATTAAGTCAAACAAAATAATGATTTATTTGTAAAAAAAAGTTTTTTACCAGTAGGCTATTATTATGTTCATGACATTAATTTATATAAGCTCCAACCATTTCTCAATGTGCTCCACCTTTATAATATTCTATATCTTATAAAAATTAGTAATTCTTTTTAGTTTAGATTTTTCCACCCATGTACTGTAGTTTGAATTACATAATTTCAATTTTGCACTATGCAAATCTGCAAAAAATATAGATTTCGTATCAAACACACAGCATTTTACCTTGAATTTTTTTTAAGGCATCCCCCCCCCCCCCCCCCCCCCCAAAAAAAATAAAAAAAACGGAAGTCCTAATGTGGATAGGATCCAGGAAGTGTTGCTGCCATGACGCTAATGAAGAAGCCTTCTCGCCCTTTGCACAGATGCATCATAGAACAT